ATTATTACATACGCAGTGCCTTAGTATTTCACTAAACCCGTCCTAACGAACTCTCATCTTTAAAAGATCGACGCGTACAGATTTTATGTCGGCCCTTCTCTAAAAAACCCTTTCTGACCAATAGGAGGCGACGTTTTGATACGCTTCCGCTTTAAGGGAAACCTTTAAAGGCAAACGGCTCCGGGGACCGAAGCTAAGCCCCGACTTTTCTTCGGCCCTAGAATCTAAGTCGGCATGGTGGTTTGTTCCATAAACCCTGGATAACCGGCTTATCTCGTACGAAATTATGAAAAAAGTCGCTGCTTTGCACGCATTAGAAAAGTTTAGTACCTGTGTACTTTGCTGCTAGTGCCTGAAGCGCTACGTACTCGTGTGCATTAGTGGCAAAGATACGTGGAGGTAAGCCTGTGTTTTGTGGATTCAGCTCTCCTATTCCAGATTCGGTCAACGCTTTTTTACACAATAGCTAGGGTCGGTCTTGTTTCATTGAGAGACTACTTTGTCATGAAAATACGATTTGAGGACTTAGTCGTATTGAAATAATTAACTAAATTAACTAATACATAATGACAACTATGACGTACGTGGGAGAAAATGGGAATGAGAATTAAACTAACATATTATTAGTCATCTACATACCTCGGCATACTCCTTCTTGATAGGGAACAACAACCCGACTCCAGAGTTAGAAGTTCCATGTTATGAAGTATCATGCTAATATCTCTCTACCTAGTTGCGTTATCAGAAGAAAGAGATTGGTCAATCGATGATCCGCTAATACTAATTACAATCATTAAATTAAACTACTGTATTATCTAAACACCAAGGATTCCGTAAATAGTCCACAAAATCCACTAATGCGGTTTCATCAAGATAGGGAAAGATAACGCCAATGAGATCTCACAAACAACCGAACAAGCCTCAACTTGCTGATACCCCAGATCTTCGGAACCCCTTTCAAACTCTTTCCAGTCAGAGCTGAACTCAATTCAGGTTTATCAGATTCCCCGTGACCCCGAGTTTTGTCCATCTTCATCAGGACGCATCAGACCGCATCAGACTAGATCACACAAGAGATAACGGGATCTCGGAATGTAACGAGGTCCAAAGGCGGTCATTACTTATCAGGAAAAAAAGGGGAGACGGCTGACGATGAGATAGCGGTAGCATGAAATACATTAATAGAAACTAAACCTAACATCGATGATAAACCCCACGTCTACCTCCTAGTATGTATTCTAGTTAGGTACTTGATATTAGTTTCAACTTCACTCTTGCGCGTCGTACTGCTTGAACAGCTCATCAAACTCCTCCATCCTTATAACAGCGTCGTGGAGACGAGGCCACTCCTGATCATCGGGAAGATCACCCCTCGGTTTTCCCTCGCTCCACCAACACGCAAACCTCTCGTACAGCTCTGCCACAATCCGAGACCGATACGGGAGCTCCTTTTGCCAGTCCTCCCAATCCCAGCTCACGTCGATAACCTCGTCTGTATTATGATCGTGTAACTTGATTTCGATAGGGTCCTTGTAAGAGTCGGAATGAACATACGCGCCGTTGGCAGTTACCATGATCTCACCCGACTCGCCGTTGATTGCCCAAACAAAACCAGGGGTTCCATTGAACTGTTGTCCGCTCCTAAACGTGAAGGATAAAGTAGCATCATCGACGATATCAACTTTCCCCTTAGCAAGCTTTCCATGAACTACTAGGAGATCTGGTACGTCGGTAGACCTTTCCGCTACGACGGAACCATCTTCCCCAATGACCTCGAGGACTGGTCGCTGAATCTGCATGCGGCTCTGGAAAGACGAAAATTCCCCGAGAACCTCGTGCACGTAATCGATTGTATGTCCGTAAGCGATCGTAATGTGGTTTCCGCCTACTTCCCGATCCGCAAAGTAGGATAGACCCTCTGATACCTTGCCTCTGGTTCCGAGATTGCCGTAAGCCCGAACGTCACTGCTAAGTATTCGGCCAATACGTCCCGAGTTGAGGATTTCCTTGAGTTTGATAACAATGGGTGAGACGCGCCCCTGAAGTCCGATAATAGTGTTATCAAGGCGTCCCTTGCCCGTCAGAGCGACGGCTTTCTCGTAATTCTCAACCAGGGGCCATTCTATGAATACGGCCTTGCCAGCCCGTACAGACGGTCCTGTAGATGAATCGTGGGTATCCACACGAGTGCAGCAGACTACTAAGTCAACATCAGGATCTGAAGCTAAGGCGTTCGGGTCGCCGTAAGCCTTCACGCTTGAAGGAAGAGCGAAAGATGTCCGAGCTGCTTCCGCCGCAGAGGTACTTGAATTAAGTAAAGCCACAATTTGGTATTTAGAGCTACCTCGCGATGATAAAAGGTAAGGAAGATGACCTTGGGCAGCCCAAGATGTCTTTGCAGACTGCGAAAGTCCGATAAGGGCGACACGAATAGGGGCCATGTTGATACAAATAGTAATGATGATATTGAAGGTAGGTATATAGTAAAACGACAACACAGGCATGAGAACCAACGTAAAACACAGCCCTCTTATATCCATACACGTTCTGGCCAAATTCAACATTCATTAGAAATCATCATGACTCTCTGTATATGTAACGGATGGATGACTAACCAATTCACTTAGTCATTTTCCATTTTAGGCAAATGGTCCTCCTATTCATTACCTAACCCGCTATTATGCCATTATCCCAAAAGAGCCATCACGCAACTAAACCCGAGTATCGCAACGAAAATAAATGCCTGCTTCCATATAGACGCCTGAGCTAAAATGAAAGCGAAATAGAGGCAAACAATGCTACAAAGAAGACTTCGGAATAGGTGATTCTGCTGATTTAACACATCTGGGACACGCCTCTAGCAATCCCTGCCCCAGCCTAACTGCCGATTCACCTCGTTCATGGCGCCGACTCCAGCCCTAAATAAATCGAAAGCGCCGTCCACGATGTTGTTACCAGAGTTGAGTGCTGGTTCGGGCTCCTGCGCTCTCCTGAGATCCGACTGATCAAGAACCTTCTGCTGCTTCTCCATGACAGCTCTGTAGATAGCGCGCGCCCATAGGTTATACCACTGATCCTCACTAATACTAACGTACTCCTTCCCACCACCCTCAGCGGCCCTCGAAAACGGCCACTCCGAAATAGCGACCTCCCACCTCTTCGTGCGAAGCCACAGGTAAGGCCACGCAAAGAGAAACAGAAGCGTGCAAATGAACAGCGTCTGTATCCACGCCGTAAGCCTCCAATGATTCGTCCTCGCCTCATTATACACCTCAACCAGCGAGTTCTTCATAACCAGCTGCACCTTCAGGTGTCCGCGGTAATTCGTGTTATTAACTAAAGCCCGTAACTGGTTTTTCACGCGCTCCTCATCGAACCCGACGACCGTCCGGTGCAGCGCGAACACCTTCAACCCGGCATGGCTGGCGGCGTACCGATGACACCACTCAGCCAACGTCGGTTTCGGGACGCCGCCGACTTCGATGCTTTGGTTTGTGCCCGGGGCCCGTTTCCGGAAAATGGTGCCCCGCTTCGTTTTCTCGAAGTTTTCTACCGTCCGTAGTTGGTTCCACGACTTGCGGTACTGGGCATCTGAGTACAGATACGGCGTCAGCTCGACGGAGACGTTGAAGTCGACGACGGTGTGTGTTTCATTCTTATCCTTATCATTGCGCCGCGTCTCCGTGTGCGTTCCGACGAGGTTGATGTAGGGGCGCGGGGGGATCGCGGCTAGTGTTCGGATGTGCGATTCGAGCGCGGTCGGGTTCTCGAGGCTTTTCGAGATCCAGAATTGCGAGCCGTTGTTGAGTTCGTTGAACACTTTGCCATCTTCCATCATGAGGGCGGCAGTCGTGGGTAGAGCGTTGAATTGGTTTGGGATGGGTGGCGGAAGTAATGATTCGACTTCGCTGTAGTTTGGCGGCAAGTCGTCGACGGCATTCTCGGGAGTGTCGAGGTCATCGTTATTAATATTGTTCCTGGAGCTCTCGCCCAGATTAGAGTGCAGCGAAACGGAATCGGCTGCAGCCTTGCCGGCAGCCAGATCTGAGGGTTTACCCATTGTTTACAGGATAGGATACGATAGAAATTCAAATGACAGGGCGATTGGAGATAGAGATAGAATGGCGACGACCTGATTTGCCTACCTTCTTAATACCCAAAGCTGCTGTTTCACAGAAGGATCTTGGATTCTTACAATGACAGGTGGATAGGTGGGCCGAGATTTAAGGAAGAGTTAGAGGGCTGAGCAGCTGAGGCGGGTCGGGCGTCACACGTTACAAGATCTAGAAGTCCTAGGTCTGAGGCATCCCTGTTACCTGATCCGCCAATCACGGCCATGGAATACAGGCCATTCAGCCTGTCAGCACAAAGAACATCCAACCTGCATAGTGTACAAACCAGGGTGTCTTATCTGGCCCTTTTTCGAGGTTGGAACCTTGAAGCATCATAATGTGAGTGACACCTGGAAGAAGTTGTGAATAGCCTCGATCTTTTCAAGGAGAAAAGTGGCAAAAAGGGAACCATTCGATCTCGTAGTCTACATGGAAGAGACTGAGAAGAGGCAAAAAGTGAATCGTGACAAGAGTGGGACTTGAACCCACGCGGATTGCTCCACCAGGATGTTAAGATGTTAAGGTGACCTTAACCTGGCGCCATAACCAACTCGGCCATCTTGCCTAAGTGATGATGTGAAAATCGGCTTCGTATTGGTCTACATGTCTATGGTGAAGATTTTTTCTAGCTGATGACTCCTATTGGACAATCCATGCAGTTGATGGCAGAACTTCGGTGGAGGAATAGTCTGGCATACTAGCGCTAATGTTAGCTCTTTTTTACGCTATGAAATTTTACATATTCTAAACTTCACAAATATTCTAAAAATAAAAATAATACAATTTGTCTCAATGTAAGCAAGATCTTCAAATAAATCACAATCTTAATGAAGCGGCCATCCGTCAATTGTAAAAAATCTATCAAAATAAAGGCAAAAACAAAAAGAATGCCCAACACAGGAGTCGAACCTGTTGCCTCCTCATTACGGTATAGTCCTTCTCGTATTAATATCAAAGAGGATACTAGTGAGGCGCTCTACCGGTGAGCTAGTCGGGCCACATCATCCATTCTCTGTCGGCTGATGGTTTTTTTCGCTTGCTAAAATCAATTATATGCTATCCCATGGACCCAATATGTCAAACCAAAGAGCTTCGACCAAATAACACTGTCAAATATCCACAGTTCTGTTTGCGCAAGATAATTCGTTACTATGCCTGGAACCCTCTGTGGACATCACGATAATTGTCAATTGGTCCAATTGAGAGCAATCCCAACGACAATTGTTTAATCGCTTCTAGTTTAACTCAAAAGCTTGATAGTAGAAGAACGGAAGCCACATAAAGACGCCTACATGTTCCCTCAATATGATAGATACCTGTTGCTCTTATTAGCAGCAGATCATTCGTGCGCTGTAGAAATTAAGAGGCCCAAACAGTTTATTATGCGCCATTCTAGGTAGTTGGCTGTATGGCTACCGGGTTGATTTTAAGTTGAGCGTGGTTTGAGATGCTTCACGTTCAGTTCGTCGGAATGAAACTCCTCGATATCTTGCTGTTTGGGATGATCAAGTAAAAGTTTCTAGATCATAGAGTACCTAGTCAGAGGTAGGCATGCATTTCGCTATCCTTAGATTGTTGATGGATTTTGCTGAAAGGTATCAGAATAACATTTTGTAGACATTCTAGATGTTCACTATAGAGAAACTCCGATGATATATGAATCAGGGATGCCAATTGAAACTCAGTCAATTCCTGTGTCAACCCCATTATTCGCCTACTTATCTATAACCTACACAGGAATCTAGAGTTAATTTGATAGACTCTATTCCTCTGAACGGACGGTCAGTACCGCGCGCTGCACTGAAAATACAGGTCCGGAGATCGGATGCCGGAGCCGCCATATTTGGGGGTATCCATCATGAACGATGACATAAGGGGCTTGAATGATGTACAGGTACCCAGTCGTGGAATTGAGATACTGCAGAATTAAAAGCACTTATCCGCCATATCAATCTCGATATATTCTGTGCTACATCGTAGGATCTTGCTTGCGTATGAGACACGCCTCCGGAAGCCCGACCCGGTTCTAAGAGGTAGGTACTCACAGAATCAAAGTGGCATTATTGTAACGTCCGGTCCGCCCTGCTTTACTGGATATCCCCTGCAATTGGTGTGATTGTGGCTGCTTTTCCCGAAGGATTTTCGTATGCAGGCAGGCGATGAAAAGGCATATTATTCTGCAGGTAGTTCACTTGGTGTCAGGGGGGCACTCGAGAGGCGCTTGCTTTTAATTTTAGTACACGGCCAAATCAGGAGAAACTAGCTCTCTGGCAACTGCAACAAGTATAATACGATTAAACTATACCACTATTCAGAAATGTAAGAATATTCGCCCTCCTATAGGCATCTTAGCTAAAGGACCCTGAATGGAGATGTAAGTGTCTAACATCACTTCTTTTCTTTCCCTCTAATATGGTAGCTGGGAGCATCCCAATTAATATCAGGAGTGGCAATATATGTGTGAACAATTTTAAAATGTCTTCCCGAAGCATCCGCGTAACTCAGATATCACAAGTCAACTCGGAATTTCCCACCGACTATACATCATCCATGCTTCAAGCCACCGTCATTTAAATCGAAACCAATCAGATTTGTAACTCTTGGGGTCTAACCGCATAGGTAGGTCAAAGCAAATATTAAAGCATAGCCAGAGAATAGATGGTTATGGATGTAGTCCCCAAGCTCGATTCTATGTGGATATGCCGGTTTCTCAGAAGGTTTGGACCCCAGCACCTCTATATTCACGATGGGGATATAGATATTAAAGTATATGGTATGTGGATATCAAACTCATTGTTCATCATATAGAGAAGTCACGTTGACTACCCATTTATGCCATTTATGTAAGTCAATACCTATTAGGTATCCCGAGATGTGTATAATATTCTCTCCTGATGGATCTTCATAATCCCTTAACGCCAATTCAAAGTCCCGGCCTAATCTAGTGTAACGTGGTCACGAGTATAGACGAGACTTCACTTCGTCGTGTTAAAGGATGCAATTCAGCATCATTTGGAGATCCCAAACGTGCTAAACTCCAACACATACCGAGTTTTCTCCTAGATGAAGCCGCGAGTCTATACACGATCAGACAAGAGGGTATACGTGCATAGCCTAATGATCGCAGGGTTGCCTACTCAGGAAACCCCTAAGCACCAAACATGATACATCGCCGGGATATGTGCAAGCTTGGTGCAACGCATTAATCGACCCTGTTCCGTGGGTGGCTGTCGGGTCATAGCAGGTGTAACGGCAGTTGCATGGCCTCTAGAACATTATGTCATCATACAGCTAGCTACCGGCTACTTATAGCCCGAAGTCGTAAGCATACACCATTAAAACTATACATTATGGGGATATGTATGTTATGAATAGGGAAGGAGACGACGGGCGCTTACTCGTTGAGGTTCTAAAGGGAATATGTGCTGCTATAATCTGCGAGCGGCCAACTGCGGAATCTATAGGTATGTCTCATATGAGCTCGAGACGCGAACAGATCTACTACCACAATGCTTAGGGTTGTCTTGGTTAGAAATTCAGCTCAACGTGGGGGACAGCGTTTCTGTATGATGTTTATTGGTTAGCCGAGTATGCATGCTACATTCCTTCCCATCCTTGGATGTCTCGCAGAGTAACATGCTTGATATCTGATGTATGTTCTAGGCAGCATCCATATAGTAGGTAATATAGAGTTGTCTTGTAATAATATCAATACAACCATGTAAACCCAGAGAATTGCCGCGAGAACCCGCTTCCCCCATTGTGAAAACGCGGATTCAGCTTGAGTTTAGTAATTTTCGTTGCTAATACACTTGCCTACCTAAGTAAGTATCCGTTAGATTGCAATTGTCCTAATTCTCCTTTCGTGGGGTCCGTGAAGTAAGAGTAAGGGGGGTTAGACTTTAGGACTTGGGGTGAGGGGAGGGAGGACTATCCAAGAAGAAAAGAGACCAATGCGTTTTGCTCATCACGATGACGATCTGTCGGTATAAGTAACGGAACAGACTGGAAACCATCCGCGCTATCCTGGACTCTCATAGGTTCGCCGCATGGTTCCCAACGAAATCGTCTTAAAGGGTATGTGCTACCCTGACTAGGGTTCTATATTGGCTCTGGATCCGAATTGGCCGGAAAGAATAAAATCACGGGTTATTTGTTACAGTATGAGATGTGAATTTCTCCAATTTCCCCTCGTCGAGAAGACGACCGTGCATCTGAAGTGCGTCTGAAGTAGCACAGGGAGGATTTGTCTTGTACTAAAATTCGTCGGCAGTTCAGAGATGTGATATTGGAAATGCCCGGCTACGCGTCGCAGATCGACTCGATCTGAAAATCTAGAGACGGGGAGTAGGTCGTTTCCTGCTGACAGTGGAGCTTTAGGACTGAGGATTTTTAGTATTAATTAGCGTGCCTTAGATTCTTGATCGACTCCCATGTTTCCGGGGAAGATTGGCATGGGGAAAACGGTCTGGCCGTGTCGAGGACGAGACGCCGCCAACCCTACGAAGAGAAACTAAGTTGGTCAGCGGAAGGGTCAGCATCGAACGCTAAGGTACGGCAGGGAGACTATTGGCTCGAGCTGCGCATGCAGCGTGCTGCTCTTGGATAGGTCTTGGATAGCTGCTAGGTAGTTATAGACCCAACGGCGCAAACGAACTATAATATCCGCCTCGAAAATTGCGGGGAAGCAGGGGCTGCATATAGATTGACGGGTATTTGACCTCACGGTCTCCTCCCCCGCATTTTGGTATCCGTCTTGCATACGAGCTCCATCTGCTAGTGGCCAATGAGCATAGAGGTATACGCAAAGCAACCTGGGGTAGCAGACTAAGAAACACAGGGGACAGGGGTAAGGGTGACCACAAGGCTGTGAAGGATAACATCCCGAGCCTCACCGAGATATGTGCTGCTGGACGACATCACACTGGGTACTTTTTACATCCATGAAATGACAATCTAAGCCGGCAACCGTGGATCGAATACCACGGACGAGCCATGACAGGTGACGTGGATAAATTAGAACTAGTAACACTTAACGTAGGGCATCGTAGAGTGCCGAACCTGGTTGTTCCAGATCTGGTTGGATGATACCTTTCGCTACGCAGTTGGAAACTTGGGATTTCCTGGGCTTTTTTGGATTTGGTTTTCCATCTTATCCGAACAGCTGTCTCGGCTGGAGTGACATATGCAGATGTGTTGCATCGCTTGATATCAGATGACCACGACAGTGAGTTGGCATGCCTGTAAAATAGATACTGTGATGGAGGGGTCGTTGGGGGATTCTAACTAGTAGTCAAGCCTGAATGCACGACCTAACACATCTAGCAAGGAATCGCCATTGGAGGCTTCATACGAGATATCCTTGCGGTGGCGTCTCGAGGTTTGGGATTTCGTAGGTTCCCCTCATCTCAAGTATTTGTAGATCCAGGCTTCCCAGCATTTCACGAAGCATAAGAACGCAACCATCACCCCCCAGAGTGGTTTCACAACATGTTCTCCAAGATTTTCGGCTGGGACCAGAAACAACAAGACGATATGAGCCCTTTACCTGAGGAATTCGATATTATTGTGTGCGGTGGTGGCAGTTGCGGTTGTGTGGTAGCAGGACGGTATGTCCTTGTCCTTTGATCAAGGCTATCGACAAGAGATCTTGTACTGACTGTGAGCAGTCTGGCGAATTTGGATCATAACCTGAAGGTTCTCTTGATCGAGGCTGGAGAAAGCAACCTCAACAACCCATGGGTATTCAGGCCGGGGGTTTACCCCCGTAATATGAAATTGGACTCAAAAACGGCGTCTTTTTACGAGGCTCGCCCGTCCAAGCACCTTGCCGGAAGAAAGGCGGTGGTTCCGTGTGCTCACGTCTTGGGAGGCGGATCCAGTATTAACTTTTTGGTAAGCGAACATCTCCAATATTCAACGGATCCGAAATGTTGAAACTAAGACTTCTTAGATGTACACGCGTGCTTCGGCTTCGGATTATGACGATTTCCAGGC